ACCAATTTAGCAGGATTACCGGTCGAAGACCAAAATGTCGGAGGTGGAGAAGTTCCCCCGACGAGACCTGTTAAAAACTTGGAAAAGTTCAGTATTCTGAGAGACTCGATGGAGCTTCGACACTACAAAAATGAGAATTCAAAAAACTCCTGAGAAACCTCCCCTAGCAGCTAAACAACCGACCCATAAATCAAGCCCGAAACCAAACCCCATCAAGTGAAAGAAGAAAGCCTTGAAAAACAGATGATTAAAAAAAGGTCTCCCTTTTTCAGCCCGAAAACATCCAACGAACGCTCCTACCTCTTACAGTGAAAGTGAGAAAAAAGAAAAAATAAAACAAATCCTTAAAACCCATAACCAACCCAAAAAGGCAAACAAGTAATATCTTATCGCAACCCGCGCGACGCCCCCAAAAAATCCCAACCGGATTGCCCCACACGCCCCTAAGAAAAACCACCCTGACTCAGCCCCAGAAGCATGCAGCACAGCGTCATTGTCTATTGTGGTGGATGACAAGCCTTGGCTTTATGGTGATATACAGAATTACTCTCTCGTAAACGATAGGTACCTATCCGGTGGAGGGATTCCACCAAAAACCCCTGTGATCAATCGGTGACCATGTGAGACTAGTTAGCGTCGGAAGATCTCTACTCTTCCTTACCGGGGCAGTTCGTGTATATAAGAAGTTGGAATGTCGCATTGCACCTAAAGGTGCGTTTGATGACGAAGGAATCGCCTCTACACCATTATGGGGATTCTGTAGTCATAAGATCTGGGGATATTCTGTGGTCACCAACTATTCGCACGGCAGTGATAGGCCTTGTGGGCTGCGGTCAAAAATCTACTAAAACCTAGGTTAATTACTGGTCAGAAGACTATGGATATGCTGGTATTGTGTCGGCACGGCATTACTGCGCGGATAGTGCCATGTGTATTACTGGTCAACTATGAATTCGGATTGTGTGAGGCATGCGCGTAAGTGCCATGAGTGCCAAATTTTTGCTAAGCTGCAAAAACGGCCTCCGATCCATTTGAATCCAATTGCTTCACCGTGGCCTTTTGCAACTTGGGGCATAGATGTAGTTGGAAAGATCCACCCGAAAGCCTCTAATGGCCACCAGTTTATCCTGGTCGCTGTAGATTATTTCACTAAATGGATTGAGGCAGTTTCCTTTTCAATGTTAAACGCCAAGAAGGCAACACAGTTTGTACGTACCAGCATCCTTTGTCGGTATTGTGAATACTCAAATTTTGAGGCTCAAAAAGCCTGTTGGTTGACTTTGCTACAGTAAATTTGACTGTGCTACAATGAATTTGCTACATTCAGCACCATAAGTCCTCACCCTATCGCCCACAAACAAATGGGGCCGTCGATGCCGCGAATAAGGCCATAAAAGTCATTTTGCAAAAGACGATTCAGAGGTATAGGGCATGGCATGAACAACTACCAAATGCTTTATGGGGATACAGGACTTCAATCAGAACGCCTACTGGGGCAACCCCGTACGCCCTAGTGTATGGCGGGGCAACCCCGCATTCCTTAGTGTATGGTATGGAAGCAGTGTTGCCCATTGAACTGGAAGTTCAATCGGCGAGGATTATTCGAGAAAGCCAGATCAGCGAAGCAGATTGGGCCGAGAATTATTATTTGCAACTTTTGGGTCTGGATGAAAAGCGATTGCGAGCAATCCACCAAACTCGAGTTTACCAAAGAAGAATGGCAAGACATTTTAACAAGAAGGTCAAAGACCGGGAACTGGAAGAAGGTTGTTTGGTTTTGAAAGAGATTAGACAGCCAATCGTAGATCTTAAGACAACCGGTCTATAGAATCACTGGGGAAGGTTCGTCCTCATTGGGTCTGGACGCCTATGCTGGTTGAAAGTGAAGATGTCTTGTTCAGGCGGAGCACGTTATCGCTTGACTTGAATTTGGATGGTGCTGGAAATCACTTTAATCCATGTAATTTAGATCAGTTTAAGAAAGGTATTTCGTGATAAATTGTAATCATTTGCCATTAATATGGTATAAACGAACTAACATTTAGACCTGAGTTCTCTTTGACAAAAATTTCATACTATCGGAGATATGTTAGGCAAGCCCTCATTTGGGCTGCGTCTAATATGTAGGCAGCCCTCTTTGGGCGCGGTCTAAGCATTAATAAAAAAAACACATTTCAAATTTCATTCTTCTTTGCCGAATAAAAAAAAAAAAGAGAAAAGAAAGAACCGCTAAGTTGAAAACCCGAAAGGGCGGCTTAAGCAAAAGGGGGTAGCTCGCTAAGCTGAAAACCCGAAAGGGCGGCTTAGGCAAAAATTAGAGCCTAAATAAATAAAAGTTGGCAAATGCTTGGAAAGTTCAAAACGCCTAATGACAAAGTCAAATAATCCAGAATCAAGCAAGAGAGTCCAAAATAACTAAATCCAAAAATAACTAAAGAAAGTGTAAAGCATACATCAAAAGATAAATCCAAAGTCCCAAACGAAAGGCAAAACAAGGAAAAATCACAAAAGTTCATAAGAGTCTAGGTATCCCGTTGCCTCCGCGGAGCGGCATCCTCTGAGTCTTCTGCTGAACTCTGCCCAGCCTTGTCTGTCCGAGGGGCCAGCACAATCTCCTCACCTGTCCCAATCTCCTCTTCAGCATCAGCCTGAACCCAACCTTCGAGAACACTCAGCAGTGCAGTCCTCCTTGGTCTTTCAATCGGCCAGACAGCGGTAATGAACCAGCTCGGCCTAGAACAGCGGTAATTGAACCAGCGCCGGATACTCAGGGGAGAAAGTCTGGAACGCTGGTAGGATACGAGGTAAACAAGGTGTCTAACCATACGGTGATCTGCTAACCAGAAGCTATTATGAGAACAGCTCGTGGGTAACCAGAGCCTGCGGTCTAGAAGCAGTAATCTGCCAGTAATCAGCTGAAATGTTCATTCCATAAATAGGGACAGTCTCCTTGATCTATCCCCATCTGCCTCAGAACCGCCGCGAAGCGCAAGTACCAACGAGAAGCGCAGTACCAAGTACAGTGTGTGAGGCCTAGAAGATAAACCCGAGAATGGCGAAAGCTGACCTGAATAAAGCGGTTGATATTGTACCAAGGAACGAACCACAGTATCTCATTTGGACCCAATTCAACTAGCCACGAAGTCCATGCTTCAGTAGAATGGTGGGAGAGCAAGATTTTCCGCATGCGATACTGAGAAGGATTGTAGGGAAGGGAGGTCGGAGCAGCCACTACTTGAAGGTGATCCTTCAACCAAACCTGAATAATGGATCTTTTCCGTTATAACAAAAAAAAGAGGAAGAAAAGAATGAGGAAAGATGATAGGGGAAATACCTGCAAGACAAGGGGAGAGACGGTCCAATCGTCGAACCCCAAAGCGGCTCTGTCAAGACTTCTAATGGTCTCAGCCAGCACAATGCCACCAATGCAACCCATGTCCTCCATTTGCCAAACCATAGGGCAAAGCCGCAAGTCTCCAAAACCCGGGTCCCGGTTGAATAAGAACCAAACCATGGGACAAAGTCGCAAGTCTCCAAAACCTGGGTCCCGGTTGAATAAGAAACCGGCCAATAAGCAGAAAACCAGGGCCCGCATCCTCAGCCTCACCCGGTCAGGGTCGTCCAAGCAAGTCTCTGAAAATTCATCAATCAGGGGCAGCAGAATCGCCTTCTGATCATCCACAATCATAGCCCTAGCCTGTGGCTCATAGCCTTAGCCTATGGCCGGCTAAACCGAAACAAGTTCTCAAAAGACTTAACATACCCAACTTTCACCTCGTGCCTAACCAAGGGAGCATTGGGATCACACCCTATAATCGCAAAAATTCCTCAAAAAGAGGGCACATTTCCTCCATCATATCCCCAAATCGAAAAACGTGAGCCTCAGGATCCCAAAGCTAATACAGGCTCGCAAAAAGTCCCAGTCAACTACTACGCCCCTAAGAGTGATAACAGGAGAAATTTCGTACCTCCCCAAATTGATCTTTTCAACTTCTTGGAGAGGACTCCTGCTCCAGCTATGCATGCTAATGATTGTTAAAAGGGATTCATGTTATCTTATTTATTTAATCTTTCCTGTTTTATTAAAAAAACATAATAAATATAATAACCTCACAATTAAATGAAATAATATAAAGCTAAAAATATAAAAGGAGGATAGAGAGAGAACTGACCTAGAATAATGTCTGTTTAAAGCACAGTGTTTCGAGAGTCAGAATCGCAAAACACACACACCGGGGTGCGACCAAGCAGCTTTTTAGTTAGGAGGAAAAGTCGCGCCTAAAGGGCGGTTGCCCGCGCCCTCTAAGGCGGGTATGCCCACCTAAAGCTGGGCACGCCCGCCCGGTTATCGGGTGGTGGCATTGCGCGCCCAGCGGTGGGCGGACAATGCCCGCCCAGGAAAGGGCCAGAGCACGCTTCGATACCCAGCGTGGGCGGCACCATTGGCCGCCAGCTAAGGGCGTGGCACGCCCGGCCCACGCTGTGGCGCACATGCCCGCCCAGGCAGGGCAGGCACGCCGCGGCCCAGCGTGGGCGGACATGTCCCCGCCCAGCTCAGGGCGGGCTTTTATATAGAAAGACGTGCCCGAGGGCGACTGTACCCGCCCTCTGAGGCGGGCATATCCGCTTCGAGGGCGGGCACGCCCGCCCAGCCCAGGCAGGCATGACCGCTCTCAAGGGCGGGCTTGCCCGCCCAGCCCAGGCGGGCACGCCCGCCCAGAAGGGGCGGAAGCGCCCGCCCAGCAGGGCGGGTACACCCGCCCGGCCCTAAAAAAAAAAATAATAATAATTAATTTTATTTTTTTTTAGTACATAGAAAAATAGGTTGTTTTTTTTTTTCAATTCCTTTTTTTTTTAAAAAAAACAAGGGGGGGGGGGGTCAGTATTAATCACAATACAGGTTACACAATTAAGGTTGCAGTTACAGTGAAATACCAGCGCATGATTCAATACTATAAAAAAAAAAAAGAGCGAAGAAAGTAAGAGGAAAATAAAGAGGGAAAGAAAGTAAAGGAAAGCAAAGAAATCTAGCAGCTATCAGCGGCGAGACCTCCTCCTCCTCTGGTCGTCAAAAGCCTGCAATGTCCAAGCTGAAGTTAGTTCCTCCTGCATTCCAAGGATTAGCTCCATCATCTGACGGATCAAGCCGTCAGGAACCTGGGAATCACAAAAAAATACAAAGTCAATATACAAATCTCTTATGAATCCTTTTTATGAGAAATTTACCAGTCATTACCTCATTGATGTCATCAGGAGGAAGAGCCAGGCAATTCACACGGTCCAAGGATACTTCCCTAAGAGACGAAGTACCCTCAGGAGTGTAATAGGAAATGCTGTATGGAAGGTGCAAATTGGCCAAGCCCGGGTGGACAGGCCTGGTAGCCTTTGAAATGGCCTGGGGAATCCTGAAGGCACCGACCGAATGACTAGGGCCAGCTCGAGACGGACCCTCCACCGGAGTAAAAGAAGAAGGCAGGGTCACAGGCCTCCTCCTTGGAGTCCTGGCCGAAGAACCTGAAGCCCGAGAGGAACGGGTGCCAAGCGGATGGGAAGGAGTCGACCTCGGGAGACTGTCAAACCTGGAGCCGATGGGCCGCATCAGAAACACCTGGCAGAATTCGTCATAATCTCCACCTCGGATCAATTCAAACACCTGGCAGAATTCGTCATAATCTCCACCCCGGATCAATTCCATGTGCGGGATACCCTCAGTATGGACATCTGTAAGAACCATCTGTTTGCCCGCTCGCATGTCCTTTGGGGGAGGAAGAGGAACGGAGCCGCAGCCCCTAACCTGGAAGTCCACTCGCTCACCCAGGTAGTAACGTCTCAGAATAGGATGGGATAAGACAAACCGCCGCCGAGACAGAGCCTCTGATCGCCTGAAATGGGGATCCGCCTCAATCCAATGTTGGAGTCGGATGCCCATCGCCGCCCCTACCTTCGAACCTATGTAGATGAAGCAATGGTTTTAAATGAATATGCTTTTTTTTATGTTTTCACATAGCCAGAGAAAAGATTAGGAAGAGCAACTGCGCAGTCTGGGCCCTACTGGTACACGTATCGAAGTAAGTCCGCCATGACAAGTATCGAAGAAGCACCGCAGATCCCCCAAGGACTTCCGGCGTAGAACAGACTGTTGATTAGCTCGGTACCATCTCCAAGCTAAAGGTACCAACCCTAGCCCAAGATCAGTATGGGCCAGCTCAGGGCGGATATAAGGAAAATACTCAAAGGCCCAAGCCTGCACAAGGAAGGAGAGGATTAATAATAAAAAGCAACAAAAAAAGAGAGAAAAAGAAAAAAAAGAGGGCACAGAATGAGGATATATTCTTTACATTACCTCCCAGAAATAGTAAGTCCCACTGAGCCTGCAGTGACCTCGACTCAGATCGCACATATCATCGTACATGCGACTCAGAATAGCACCGGCCCAGTCATACTCAATGAGGTGGGCCAAGTCCTCCAAACTCCTCAGTACAGAGGGATTAAACCCCTCTTTTCTGTTAGACCAGAAAGATGAAGCAAACAACAGCAACAGAGTGAATCTAGCTACCTGGGTAGCCGTTAGCTCTCCCTGCCTCCTTGTCTATGTCTGGCATAAATGCCAGGGGCCTGGGAGGATAGCCAGTGCCTCGAAACACTCAGGTCGGGGGAGGAATGGCTGGGTCTAACAATCCGGGGAAGGTCAATCCCTATCAGCTCTGTCATTCGGTCGGGGGTGACCGCAGTCCTCCAATCGTCAACCGCAGGTCCTTCCAATCGTCATACAGCGTCGATCGGGAGACGCCGAAGTACCAAAAGGGAATACCAAAAGGAATCCCAGAAATCAATGAAAAGTCAGTTGGGGTCATCGTCATCTCGCCCCAAGAGAAGTGGAAAGTGTTGGTGGTGTCCCACCATCGCTCAGCCAACGCGCCCAGTAAATTCTTGTAATTCTGCCTACCCAGCTCGAGATTTCTTAAGAAGTCCAGGTGAGAGGACTCAAGTATGTCAAATATGTCCCACCATAGCTCCGACCGGGGTATTAGGATCAAGTATGTCAAATGGGATTTCAGCAATAGAGGACTCACCCACGTCCAGTCTAATGTATGCATCCTAAAAGGTAAAACAGTTTAAGGTTATCCTTTGGTTCCTAACTAAAAGATATCTTAATCTTCTCCCAGCATGCATACTAATAAAAGTGGTAAGAGTCAATCACAATTCGGCCTAAGGCCCAAAAAAATTCACACTTGGCCTAAGGCCCAAAAGTATAGAAGCAAAGGGAGCTTACCTGGGCGAAGATGCCGGTCATGGAAACATGAGTGTCAGCGTCCGCCGCAAGATTTACATCGTCCACAGAAATTCCCAGAGACTCTAGAAGGTCCTCGTCGCTGCTATAGCCTGGGGAAGCCATGATAAGAAAGTTGAGAGAATTTGAGAGAGCTCTTTTGATTTGGAGAGTAAAGAATGAATGAAATCATGAGTTTTTGAGCTATTTATAAAGCAAATAGCCAAGAGGCGGGTCCTTTTGACGCGTCAAACTTTCGCCTACAAAATTTAGTTTTCAGACAACCACCGGCGCCCATAAAACATCTTTTATAAAATCATTAACTTGTGGTGCCTAAGTGGCCCAAAAAAATTCCACACTTGCCTAAGGCCCCAAAACAGTACAGAAGCCGAAGGGAGCCTTACTTGGAAGACGCCGGTCATTGACAGCATGATTGTCAGACTGTCCGCCGCAAGATGTGAGCATTCGTCCGACATAAATTTTTTATTCCCCGGATGACCCCCTCCAGGGGGGGGCTGGGAAAGGGACGGGGTTGGGGGGGGCGAGCGACCCTCACGCGTACTTATTATGCTTGGGGAAAGCCATGATGAGAAAGTTGGAGAGCAATTGAATGAGAGTCTCTTCATTGATTTGGAGATGTGGGAATAAATGAAACTATATTGACCGTTTTTTGAGCGTGTACTTTATGACAGCAAATTAGCCCAGAGGCGGGTCTCTTTTGACTGCGTTCTACATCGATTCGCTACAAAATTTAGTTCTTCAGGACACCTACCATGCGCCCTGCAGGTTAAACACTCTTTTATGCGATTGCACTCCGTGTGGATAGGCTGGCAACTGTGAAATGTGACCTTTAAATTTTGCACGCTCAATTATGGGATGCCAATTCCCTTTCGGACTGCAAACAGTCCGGTCGGGACCAGAGGTCATATCAAAAAGTTCACCGGAAGTGTGCTTCAATTATGGTACGTGTGCCAAATGTCCGAAAAAATTACGAAGTATCACGAAGACTAAGTGTCTGCTGGATATTCTTCCTTTGGAAGTCCGGGGCACTCTTTCCCGTGAAAAGCCTCTCCGCTGATAACGATAAGAAAAAAAACGGCACGCATTTCCGCCCGCGGGGGTGGGCTTGCCCACCCTCGAAGGAACGGGCGCAAACCCGGCGGCCAACCTGGGCGGGACACTTGGCCGCGCCCAGCCCAGGCGGGCACGCCCGCCCTCGAGGTGCGGCGAGGCGCGCCTGGCGGGTTGCGTTTTTTCTTTCTATAAAAAGAGGCCCGGGGCTCCGATTTTACGACAAGTGTCTGTGTTGACGGACCTCTCTTCTTCCTTTACGCTTCTTCTTGCGATTTCTTTTATCGTCTCTTCTGGCATTCTTTATTTTTGTACTTTTATTTTTATTTCTATTCTGCTTCTCATTCTTTTCTTGTCTTTTACCTAAGTTGGCCATAAAATTCCACTTTTAATTAATACTGGTTTAAGTGGCCATTAAAACTCCATTTTAATTAATATTTCCCTTAACGAGGAGCTTAACCTGGAGTTAAGAAGCGGTCGGAGATTAAATCAGGTACACAAACTAAACTACGCCTATTTAATTTTAGCACTTCATGCATGCTTCTTTTCTACTCCTATTAACTCTATAACTGCCTAAATGCATCCATATCATCCACTAGGCAAATAAATTGCCTCAATCAAATAAAGATTAAGTTTAAACGCCCGATTAATTAATAATCGTGGTATTAAAGCTTAAATCTGACATTATTGGCTAAAGAAGCCTAGTTAATCAATAACTATGGTGATGAAAGAGCCTTATTTCGAACAGTTTTTTGGCCTAAGTCTAATTAATCAATAATTGTGACTTAAAGGCCCTGATTAAACACTTTTTCTTTTTATGGCAATTAATTGCCTATATTTCAATTTAATTAATCACTTTAGGCAAACAAATTGCCTATAAGTGACAATTGATTCTTTTTTATAGCGACAAATCGCTTAAAGCAATATTTTGGCTAAAAGCCTTTAATTAATCACTTTAGGCAAACAAATTGCCTATAACTACACAGCCTTATAAATCATATTCATTTTGGGCTAAAAAAGCCAATTAAATCATTTACTCAACCTTTTGCGTGGACTCGCCTAACAAGGTCAATCTCTCTTCTGTGCAATAATAAGCCAATTTAATCTGGCAAGCAATCAATAAGCACACAACTCTATCTTTTGCAAGAATAGCCCAAATCCTTTCTTTTGGCCAAAAAGCCTCAAATCAACATTTGGCACCAAGTGGCCTGAAAACAATCAATTCTTTTGCAAAAATGCTAACAAAAATGCACAAAGCATACACAACACCCTCATGCATCATAGCATCCATCTAAAACGCCTCTAGAAGAGGTCCTATCGAACTACGTTTGACTGTTTTGTATCTTCCATTCAAACAGGAAGTACGTAGGGCACGTTCGGGGATTTTAACCCCGAAGCGGCAAGTCGCCAATCCATTCAAAATCTCACTTAAACATTTCCATTGGTCCAATCATTTCTTTGCCAGAAGCATTCATTTTTGGTTGAGTTTCATCAGCATCGACCATAGGTCTTCGGATCCACCTCAGGTTCGAAGGACCATGCCTTAAGACATCTGGGTATATTATTTAGTAATCTAGTGTTAATAGAGAAATTGGAGTCACTTAGGTCACTTAGGGTTTTTTCCTAGTTTACCCTAAAATAATTAAACAAGGTGGCGACTCATACATTCACGTGCATTTCTTCCCTTAGTCACATGCATTCCTAGTTTACCCAAATCATGCCAGAGAGCACTCCCGTGCTACAAGAAGCTATTGATCTCTGAATATGCTCATCCAAGCACGGCCCATGCTGCAACCACCTTAAGGACTTAGAGCCTAGCATGCCCAAGCCATGCTAGATAGTACGCCCATGCTGAAGACCAGATTTTGCATTGGGCTGAGAACGTCAGTTCTAGCCCGTGCTGCTTGCTTGGACCTGCACGAAACGCTCTCTGACATGCCAATCAAGCTTAAAATTTATCAAGCTGCTGGGAGAATCGTAATTTGGAAGAAATGCAAAGCCTAATCAATCTCCTAACCCCAAATGATTTCTTTTTCATTTAAGATTCTATTTCCTGAATGAAGTTAGAGATTCCCAAGAAGTTTATATAGAGAGAGAGACTAGCGATGATCGGAGGTCGAATCTATTCATTGTATATTCTATCTCTTGTTCTATTGTTTTCTACATAATTTTCTCACTGTTTAAGACTTCAAGTATTCAAGTTGGTGTCAAGATTTAAGGAAGCTGCTCAAGCCAATCATTGACTAGTTTTTATTTTTAAACTCTTTTCTTGTTTTATTTTCAATATGATTCGGATCGGTCGAATATCTCTACATTCATTGTTCATATCCTATCTCTTGTTCTTATTGTTTTTCTATACCATTAATCCTTTCTCACTGTTATAGGACTTCATGAGTATTCAAGTTGTGTCTCAGAGAATTTAAGGAAAGCTGCCTCAAGCCAATCCATTGACTAGTTTTTTATATTTTTTAAAACTCTTTTCTTGTTTTGATTTTTCAACTATTCATGTTGATTATGAGAATATTTTGACAGTTTATCTTAAGGTGTAATTTATTTTTGCTGATGCTTGCAACTAAATATCATTACTT